ACCCCAAACAAAGAAGACTTTTCAGGTAAAATCCCAAGATGAAAGAATAGGAAAGTCCAATCTAGAGTTACTTATGGGGGATATTGACTATGAAGGGCTCCAAAATGAGCCTCTGATGATACTAATATTCTATATTTTGATTTAGGTAGTGGTTGCCTAATGTGTGTGTGTGTGTGTATGTGTGCGTGTGTGTGTGTGTGTCTTGAAGGCTATCAAAAATCAAGACAAACACAACTCTAAAACTGCTAAGACAACTGGATTATTCATTACATTTTTTCTACAACATAAAGAAATTATTCACCCTGTATTTCCCATTTACAAGTGCTTTCATCTTTGTGATCTCATTCATTTCTCTTAAAATTCAGATTAACTAGGACACATATTTTATGCCAGAAACTCAAGTTGAAGTAGATTAGATAACTTGCCCCAAATCTTAAAAAGTAGCAGAGCCAGGATTTGAGGGAGTTGAGCTAGCTCCTAGTCCAGGTTTATTCTCACTATTCCAAGCTAGTCTAAAAACCGGAAGTCATTCATTTCCTATCCTAACTGCAGGACTTTAAGAGCACAGTTTGTGCCAAGAGGGCCCCAAGAAGCTTCTCTTACCTGCTTCTAACACAAACTCCTTTCAACTCAGTCTATCGAAGCCTCTGTCTACCACGTGTCCCTGGCGACATAGTGTGGGCACAGCAGCCACACTTTCCAACATCTCCTGGTCTAGTGGAGGGAACAGGATGTGTGCTAACCTGGGCATGATGGAAGCAGGTATGGCGCTATGCAGGAGATCCAAGGCTATGTGACGGCAAATGAGGCCGTCCTGGCTTCGGCTGACATTAATCTCATTCCCAGCATACTCAACTAACCTTTTTTTTTATTGAAGAGGAGTCTCACTCTGTCGCCCAGGCTGCATTGGAGTGCAGTGGCCCGATCTCAGCTCACTGCAACCTCTACCTCCTGGGTTCAAGTGATTCTCCTGCCTCATCCTCCTGAGTAGCTGGGATTACAGGCGCATGCCACCACACCCAGCTAATATTTTTGTATTTTTAGTAGAGATGCAGTTTCACCATGTTGGTCATGCTGGTCTTGAACTCCTGACCTCATGATTGGCCCACCTTGGCCTCCCAAAGTGCTGGGATTACAGGTGTGAGTCACTGCAGCCGGCCAGGATACTCAGCTGTGTAGAGGACTTAGCTGGGCAGCTGCCACACACAGCTCTCCCAGTGGCTCAGCTCCTGCATTTCCCGTGGCCCAGCCTGGGAAGCTGAGGAAGCCCTGGCGCTTTACGCAGCTCCTTCTTTGGAAGGCGTGTGTTAATTATGGTGCCACTGACCCTGGTTCCTTCTGCGGTTGTCCGGTATTGGCTAGAAGATGAGGAAAGACGCTGGATTTCACTGTCAAGGGGCAAGGCTCTGAGATTTCTGCCTGATCTAAGTCCCAAGGAGGGCAGCCTTTGAGCCTGAATGGCAGGAGATCAACTGACCCAGATCTTTCCATGGGGGCTGCTAGTATGAAAGAAAGAGCATGTGCCTAACCACAGTGAGACCAGGTGCAGGCTGGCTCTGCCGTTCACCACTGCTGTCACCCAGGTCTTCCTCTCCTCGTCTGTTGCCTGAGGATAATAATCCTGCCTCGCAGGGTTGCTCTGAGCATGAAATGAGAGCTCCCATGTGAAATGCCTCACGCACGCTGCTGTTACCCATTGGTGTTGCATTCCCGCCATGAGGAGATGGTCAGAGCTTCTCTAAAAGCTGGAGTGGATTCCTTTGGCATCACGTTCACATAAACATCCCTCTTTAGGCCGCCCTAGTTGAAAATGACTTCATGCTCCTTAAATGCTACACTTGTCTATTTAAATCCCGGCACAGGATGTCTTTGCCCTCAGGAACCCATGTGAGCTCTGAGGCGATCGTGCTGCCCAGAAAGGGGTGCGTTTCACATGACAGTCACCTCATTCCACAGCATTGAACAGACAGAGCTGAAACGGTGACGTTAGGTGATCCCAGTCCACATTCTCATTTTTAGCCTTTCCTGCAGCCTCCAGGCACAGAGGCGCCAGCTCATGCAGTTCCACCGTGGAAGTGGCATGTGGTTCCCTAAGTAAAAGAGCTCAAGAGGGGCACAGTGAGGAACAGAGACCTTGGTGGAGCAGCCACAGAACTGCTGACGGGCTCCCAGGCCCACCCTCCGCCTTCAGAAAGCACTTCCCTCTGCCCTTTAGAGCAAATGGTAATCTATCCTTTCGAAATGAAAAAGCCACAGGAGCAAGCAAACTCAACCCTCCCACACACTCCCCACCAGACAAGCGCCTCCAACTTAGATGTCTTGTGTTACCCCTTAACCCTGGGGTCCCTTGCTTGGTATGAAAAGCAGGTGACCTTTATTTTTTAATTGAGATGGGGAGCCTGTTGCCCAGGCTGGAGTGCAGTGGCACTGACATGGCTCACTGTAGCCACGAACTCCTGGGCTCAAGCAATCCTCCTGCCTCAGCCTCCTGAGTAGCTGGGGCTACAGGTGCATGCTACCACACCTAGCTAATTTTTTAATTTTTCTGTAGAGACAGGGTCTCACTTTGTTGCCCAGACTGGTCTCAAACTCCTGGCCGCAAGCAATCCTCTCACCCTGGTCCCCTCAAAATGCCAGGATTACAGGCGTGAGCCACCACACCTGGCCAGGTGACCTTTTTTGAGTAGCATTAAATTGCCATTCAGTCTTTTGTTCTCCAGCCTGCAGAACTCTTTGAAATAAAAGGTCTTATTACCCAACGCCTCCGTCTCCACATTTTCCATGTCTCTCCTGGCTTGTGCGGCCAGTAAGAGACTCAGTAAATAAGTGTCTCATCTCTAAGGGAAGAAACGTAAGCCAGGTGTCTATCATCCTAGGAGAAAGAAAGTAGTGATTGTCTAGTGTGGAATCTTAATTATCAGGAGAAAATGCTAATTTGACCTTTCGGATCATGCGAATGCATCTGTCTCTTTTTTCTTCCCAGGAGAAACAAAGAAACAGTTTGCCTTTAAAAACAGGATCTGATACAGCAGGAGCTGAATTCTGGACCTAAAGATGAGGCGGGATTACAAAAGCAGAATTCACATGCAGGAAAATTAGCTAATTTGGATATCTCAGGATCACAAATTACAAACAACGGTGCGCAGTCTGGCTCAACTTGAAAACCCACCATTGAGCAGCTTGCCAAAAAGGAGCAATGTCTTCACTTCCTCAATCCAGATTTTAAAGTGCTTAAAGAATCTAGCTTTTGTTTTCCCATGTGCCTTGGGACCCACAGGGCCTTGTCCCCGACCTGCTTTGTAACCTCTGCGGCTCTAATCTTAGCACAATGGGCTTCCTCGGATCAAGGTGACCTCCCTGCACAAGTGTTTTTCTTGCCTGCACACTCCCGGCTCCCTGCCTCCCACCTTATGCAGCCTCTCTTATCTGTGTGCACCTGCTTGGTAAGGGAACGGCCCTCTGGAAACAGCTAATTTCTCATTTGGTCCTTGGTCCCTTGAGATTATGGCAGTGGATTATATTTTGGGTTTGTGGAGCTATTTTCCCCATGGCACATTCATGTCCCCGATTTCACCTTCCTGAAAGGTTTTTGTTTGAAAGATGCAATGTTTCAATGTTTCATCACTTAATCCTTTGGCCCCAGTCTCAGTTTTCTTGTCTCTGAAATGAGGAAGCTTAACTAGAATGAGGTTTTTTTGGATCAGCCCATTAGAGGCAGTGCTGGGATCAGGCACTAGCGGCTCTTGGGTTTGGAAGATGTGTTGCCAACTCACCTTCCAGAAGGATCCTGAACCTCATTCTGCTTTTAAGTTTGCTTTCCTTCACATTTGCTCACCTCACAGAAATCTCCCAAAAATCTCATCCTGTTTCCCAAATTCCTCTCTACTGCCCAAGTTAGCTCAGGAACTTACTCCACACTCCTGCTTTCCTAAGACAGGGGAGACCCTCCCTCAGAATCCCTTCCATGGCGGCGGGCAACACTGCTGCGCCTTCTCCACCCAGGGCTCTCAGGGCTTCCTTCCTGGAGCTCCAGGCCTCACCCTGAAGACACCTCAAGGAAAGGGTCACGTTCTGGTCCTGCCCCTCCCAGACCTGTTCTTGGCTGGGCGAGGGCTTCCTTTGGCTCCGAAGCCATAGCCAAGCCCTGAGTCCTCTGGTTCCAGAATAGGCTTTGGCTCTGGGCCTAAGTCAGCAGGTCACACACCTCCCAGGAGCCCAAGGGAATGGGCCCTTCCCATGTGCTGCACGAAACCCCGGTTAGGAAGGTGATCTTGTTCTGTAATCTTGACAAACAACAGTGAGCCTCCAGGGGCCGGCGTGCCGTTGCCAGCAGGCCAGTCTGGTGAGTGGTTCAACTCTGGATCATCTGGGGGACCCTGCCTTCTCCTGTAGGTCTGCCAATCAAGACCTGTATGTTTGTCTTCTGTCCCCTGTAATTCATCACACACATACACACATGGGCACACTTGTGCACACACAGACAAGTGCACACACATGCACATGACCACAGCATGTCAGCACAGTGCTGTCCTCATTGTGACTCGGAAGACTTTGCTGACTTAGAGTCTTTGAGTCCTAAGAGAAGGTAATGACTCAGTGTAAGAATCAGGGTTACCCCTTTTCCTCTACTGCCGTTTGGGGTACCTGGAGTTCTACCATTAGATATTCATTCCCTTTGGCCTCAAATGTCTCTCAGTCTTCAGAGGCCCCTTCTCCCCAAGTAAGTTATAAGTAGCTGGGGGAGGGGCTGTCATGGGCCTCCAGCACGTGGGTGGTCTCTGGATTAATTTCTCAGACACTTTGGTAGAGTGGTAACAAAGTCCTGGAGATGGGGAAGCAGAAAAGACCTGCATAAGGAGGGTGACCAGGCAAGGGGACAAGACCAAGATGCATCCCACAGACGCTGTGTCACGGCCAGCCTACCTGGGCTGTAGAAGGAGTGGGAAGTTTCTCATTCATTCGATGGACATGGACCGAGCACCTACTAAGTACCAGGCACCATGCTTGCTGCTGGAGATGTGATGGCGAGCCACGAGGTTCCTGTCATTGTGGGGCTTATGATCCAGGTACAGGAAGGTAGGGAGACATTAACCAAAACATCACACTACTGGACCTGCCACTGCAAACCAAGATGAGCGCAGCGAGTGCACTGAGGGAAGGTTCTACGAGCACCAACAGACCCTCTAGACGGACCTGGGAAGGAAGGTTCTAGGAGAATCCAGCACCAACAGACCCTCTAGACGGACCTGGGAATGAAGGTTCTAGGAGAATCCAGCACCAGCAGACCCTCTGACGGATCTGGGAATGAAGGTTCTAGGAGAATCCAGCACCAGCAGACCCTCTGACGGATCTGGGAATGAAGGTTCTAGGAGAATCCAGCACCAACAGACCCGTCTAGATGGACCTGGAAAGGAAGGTTCTAGGAGAATCCAGCACCAGCAGACCCTCTAGACGGACCTGGGAAGGAAGGTTCTAGGAGAATCCAGCACCAGCAGACCCTCTAGACGGATCTGGGAAGGAAGGTTCTAGGAGAATCCAGCACCAGCAGACCCTCTAGACGGACCTGGGAAGGAAGGTTCTAGGAGAATGCAGCACCAGCAGACCCTCTAGACGGACCTGGGAAGGAAGGTTCTAGGAGAATCCAGCACCAGCAGACCCTCTAGACGGATCTGGGAAGGAAGGTTCTAGGAGAATCCAGCACCAGCAGACCCTCTAGACGGACCTGGGAAGGAAGGTTCTAGGAGAATGCAGCACCAGCAGACCCTCTAGACGGACCTGGGAAGGAAGGTTCTAGGAGAATCCAGCACCAGCAGACCCGTCTAGACGGACCTGGGAAGGAAGGTTCTAGGAGAATGCAGCACCAACAGACCCGTCTAGATGGATCTGGGAAGGAAGGTTCCAGGAGAATCCAGCACCAGCAGACCCTCTAGACGGATCCGAAGACTGAGAAAGTGGCGCTTGCGCTGATCCTAACGAAGCAGACTTAACTAGGAAGACAGGACACAGTGGACACTCCAGGCAGAGGGAACTGGGTGTGCAAAGGCCCTGCAATGGAGCCACCTGATTCTGCCATTGTGGGTAGTCATAATCCTTAACGTTCAGTAAACCCTGAATTTGAAGAAAAATGTTCCTTTCTAAAAATGTACTTCCCTTTCCCTTTCCCTTCGACTCACCCCAGCACTTGATACCAAGCCAGGCAAAGAAGGTGAGTTGTACAGGAGAAAACCTTAAAAAAACAAAACATTTGCAGACAGCAGCTATGACAGCCATTTCCTGTTTAGTGTCTGTCACCGCAAACCTTCTTAGTCAAATAAATTAACACAGGAAAACATTTTGGAGAAGGGTGTGGGAGAAACACATACTGAAAACCCAAGAAAAATTCCATCTATTTTTCAGAGAAGAGCTGCAAGTCTGAGGACAGGGCCAGAGCCCACCCACTGTAGGAACTGAACAGACCCCAGGCTGTTTAGTCCCATTAATTTGGAGGAATCTGAGGCCCAAAGAGGGGAAGAGATCCAGTTCACCACAGGGCTGGGGCCTGCGCCCCGTCTCCTGGACCTTTGTCCCATGCTTTTTCTCTGCCTCACTCCCTGTGGTTGCATTAGACCAGATCTGCCACTTTCTTCCATCAGACAAGGAACAACGGGGCTAGAACTGCCCTCTGTAACCACTGCAGGCAAAGCTTACTTTTACCCTAGGCACAGGAGCCCAATGTCCTCGTGGTATGAAAGGAGGAGGAGGAGCGCCAGACACTTTTCCTTTTCTATATTTGATCACTGCAATGACCCTAGGAGACAGTGACTCACACCCACACTTTACCAATGAGGAAACAGAGCCTCTGAGAGGTTACAGAGTTTGCTCAAGCTCACCCAGCTGCTACACAGCAGAGGTGGGGTTTGAACCCTGTCTAACCTAAAAACTCATACTTTCTCCTCCTTTCCTCAGCCCACACCCAGGGGGATGTTCCCATGGAGAAGTCTCCTCAGGAGTCCCAACCTTGACTAATTGCCAGTGGGCTGCCCATCACCCCCGACTGCCCCTCAGTTCAAACGTGCCTTCTCACATGTAGAATGTGCAATGTTGCCCGCCCGTATCATGATTCCTGAAGGAAAAGGTATTCATTGGTTCTTCTGCTTCACTCTGGAGGCTGGCTGATGTACAACTATTTGGGCTGACACTAGAGCCTCTTACTCTTGGGTGTGTGCAATATTTGTCATGTTGTTTTGCTCTAGCTATTCCTCCCAGAAGTTAGAACAGAGAATTTCCAAACTCAAGAACATGCCAGCTTTGCATGCACAATATTCTACCAGCTTTGCACGTACAATATCCAGTCTCGTTCTGTTCCAGAAAGACCCACTAGCTGACACTCTCCAGATAATAATCAGGCAGTTTGCAAGGCCCTGGTCTCAGCTCTCAGATCTTGGGGGATGGAGAGTGCAACAGACCCCACTGGAGCGAGGTTATCTATAAGAACACTTCCCGAGGCATGTTACAAGCAACACTAATGACACTGCGGACTATTGGTAGCTTTTTCTTCAACAAACAAAACAAAAACCAACAACAGACCAGATCTCTTAGCTGCAGGATTTCTCAAAGCCTTCAATATGCTGTGGCAGAGACACCTAGTTGCTCTCCAACACTCATTCTCTCCCTCTTTCTTTAATAATGAAACTCTTACATTTTAGCCGAACACGTATCTTCCAGTTAGAGACTTTTTCCTGGCCTCCCTTTCAGCTGGGAATGCGTAAGATCTGAACAAGGGGATGTGAGCAGAAGTGATATGTCTCTTCTAGTCTCATTGTTTAAAGAAATAAACCTGTGCTTGACTTGCCATTTCTCCTTTCTAGGAGCTGGGATGTAAATGTGATGACAAGATCAGGAGCAGCCATTTTGGACCAGAAAGCCACCCACTCAGCCCTGTAATAATCATCTCTGGATTGTTAGGAAAAAACTTCCATCTTCTTTGAATCACCATATCTTGAGGTCTTTGATCCAGAACTAAACTGGCCCCTAAGTAACATATGCACATATATACATAATGAGTCTCTAAGTGGAGCATATAGCAGGCAGCATCTCAAGCACATATGACCTTAGCAGCAATTTTTGATAAACGAGTTAGGACTGTGTTTCTTGAAACATACCTTGGGAGACTCTGAAAATATTTTTTCCAACATTCCCGGAACCCCAAACTGCGACTGAGTCCACAGCCCACTCGTTCCTAAGTCATTATCCAAATAAGCTTATGGAGTACAAACTACCCTCCTACACACACACACACACACACACACACACACACACACACTTATATAAAGGGATTCATTTCTTTTCCCAAAACCACTGACCTTTTCGTCACAACAGGCTCCAAAGCTTCACACCCTACACTTCTGACGTGGGGGGTCCAGATAGCAGGAGCTCACAAAGAAACAGCAGCCAAACACAGTTAGATCTTCCATTCCAGAAGAGACTGATAATAAAAATCACAGTGAAAATTAACAGCTGCTAGTGCCATGATGAAAAAAAATTGTCCAAAGCAGATATAAGTTCCCAAGCATGAATAAGAACCAGATCCAGGTAATGGGAAAATTGAGTTTCAAAAACAAGTCAAGAGCTTATTTGATTAACAAAGAAATTCCCACGACTAACATATTTTATGGTAAAAGTCTGAAAGCTTTTCCTCTAAGATCAGGAGCAGAATGAGGATTTGTCGTCTCACCACTTCTTCTCAATACTGTACTGGAAGTTCTAACCAGGTTAAGAAGAGAAGAGAAATAGATAAAGGCATTCAGGTTGTAAAGGAAAAAGTAAAATTATTTCTATCCAAAAATAATATGTGTATAGAATCCACACACCCACCTCACAAAAATAAAATGTATTAGAATTAATAAATCCATACAACAAGAGTATAGAATACAAGATCAGCATACAAAAATCAATGGTATGGCTACATGCCAGCAATGAAAAATCTGATAATAAAGTCAAGAAAAGAGTGCCATTTAAAATGCCATCAAAAGTGAATAAATTTAACAAACGATATGCAAAATAAAGGATATGCAACTACAGAACATAGTTGAGAAAAAGTTAAAAGACCTAAATTAATTGAAAGACCAAAATGAATTGCAGGAAAGATTTAAGATTGTTAAGACAGCAATACTCACAAAACTGATCTATAAATTCAGTGCAATCTCTGTGAAAATTGTATCTACCTTTTTTTGCAGAAATAAATAAACCAATACCAAAATTAATGTGGAGGCCAAGTATGATGACTCACGCCTTTAATCCCAACACTTTGGGAGGCCAAGGCAAGAGGGTCACGCAAGGCCAGGAGTTCGAAACCAGCCTGGGCAAAAAGCAAGACCCCCATCTCTACAAAAATCAAAAATAAATAAGTTAAATAAAATGTATATGGAAATGCAGGGACCCAGAAGAGCCAAAATAATCTTGCAAAAGGAGAATAAAGTTGGAAGACTCACACTTCCAATTTCAACCTTGCTACAAAGCTATGGAAATCAAGCCTGGGTCTGTAAGGATAGACGTACAGATCAACAGAATAGAATTAAGCATCCATCAATAAACCTATGAAGAGGCAATTGATTTTCAACAGGGGACCAACACAGTTCAGTGGGAAAAGTGTCTTTTTAATAAATAGTTCTATGATAACTGGATATTCACATGCAAAAGAACCAAGTTAGACCTCATCTCATTCCATATATAAAAATTGATACAAAGTGCATCAGCGACCTAATGTAAAAGCTAAAACTGTAAAACTTATAAAACTTAGGAGTAACCCTTTGTAACACTGAATCAGGTAACAGTTTCTTAGATATGATATCAAAAGCACAAGCAATAAAATAAAAAATAATGAGACTTTATCAAAATTTAAAACTTTTGTGTTTCAAAGAACAAAAAAGTGATGACAACTAACAAAATATGAGAAAATATTTGCAAATTACATATCTGCTAAGAAACTTGTATCCAGAATACATTGTAAACTCCTGTGACTTAGCCAGGTACAGTGGCTCTTGCCTGTAATACCAGCACTTTGGGAGGCCAAGGCAGACGGATTGCTTGAGCCCAGGAGTTAGAGACCAGCCTGGGCAACATGACAAAATTTCCTCTGTATGGAAAAATACCAAAATTAGGCAGGTATGGTGTCATGCACCTGTAGTTCCAGCTCCTCAGGAGGCTGAAGTGGGAGGATCACTTGAGTCTAGGAGGCTGGCTGCAGTGAGCCGTGACAGCACTACTGACCTCCAACCTGGACAACAGAGTGAGACCCTGTCTCCAAACAAAACAAGAAAAGAAAAGAAACTCCTATAACTGAACATTAAAAAGACAACCTAGGGAGAGTGGAGCAAGATGGAATAGAAAGCTCCATAGGTTGTCACCCTGCACAAGGACACCAATTTAACAACTATCTACACAAAAAAAGCACCCCAAAATCAAGTGAGCACGCACAGTACCTGGTTTTCACTTCACATCACTGAGCGAGGCACTGAAACCAGCAACTGTGAGGCACTGACTTCAGTGCTACCCCTGTTATAACAGAAAGCAAAACCGGACCAAAGTAAGCTGCTGCCTGCCCACAGAGGGGACCCCGAAACCCCAGACAAAGGGGATCCCTGATCCCAGCAGTCTGCACCGGACTTCCCGCAAGCCTCATCACCTTGGACTAAAGTACTCTGGAGCCCCAGGTACACTTGAAAGGTAGTCTAGGCCTTAAGGATTGTAACACCTAGGCTACTCCTAGGGATAAGCTGGGCCCAGAGACAGTGGACTAGGGGGAACACGTGACCTACTGAGACACCAGCTGGAGTGTCTAAGGGAGTGCTGGCATCATCCGCACACACACACACCCCACGTTGCATAGCTCATGGCTCCAAAAGTGACCCCTTCCTTTTGCTTGAGGAGAGGAGATGGAAGAGTTGGGAGGACTTTGTCTGTTATCTTGGATACCAGCTCAGCCACAGCAAGATAGGGCACCGGTCAGAGTCATGAGGCCCCCGTTCCAGGCCCTTACCCCTGGACATTTCTAGCCACAACCTGGGCCACAAGAGACCTGCTGCCTTGAAGGAAAGGACCCAGTCCTAGCAAGATTCATCACCTGTTAGCTGAAGAGTCCTTAGGTCCTGAATAACCAGCAGTGATACCCAGGTACAGGGTCAAAAGCCTTGGGTGAGACACTGAGTCTTGCTGGATTCAGGTGAGACTCAGCTCTCTCCCAGCTGCAGTGGCTGTGGGGCAAGATTCCTGCTTGAGAAAAGTGGAGGAAAAAGTAAAGGGAACCTTGTCTTGCAACTTAGATGTCAGCTCACCCACAGTGGGACAGAGAACAGGCAGGGTCTTGGGATTCCTGATTCCAGGACTTGGCTATTGCATGGCATTTCTGGGCCTGTCCCAGGCTAGAGAGGAGTCCACTCCTCTGAAGGGTGAGTCCCAGGCCATGCAGCATTCACCAAAATTAAAAAACTGAAATGTAACATCAACCGTCTTCTCTGACCACTATGAAATAAAACTAGAAATCAATAATAAGAGAATTTTGAAAACTATACAAATACATGGAAATGAAATGCTACGTCATGAATGGCCAGTGAGCCAATGGAGAAACTAGGAAGAAAACTGAAAAATTCCCTGAAACAAATGATAATGGAAACATAATATACAAAACCTATGGGATACAGCAAAAGCAATACTAAGAAGGAATTTGTAGCTGTAAGTCCCTACATCAAAAAAAAGTAAAAACCAAATAAATAACCTAACAATGCATCTTCTTTCTTTCTTTTTTTTTTTTTTTTTGAGTTGGAGTTTTGTTCTCGTTGCCCAGACTGGAGTGAGTGCAGTGGCATAATCTCAGCTTACTGAAAACTCCACCTCCCAAGTTCAGGTGATTCTCCTGCCTCAGTCTCCTGAGTAGCTGGGATTACAGGCATCCACTATCATGTTCAGCTGATTTTTTGCATTTTTTGGTAGAGATTGGGTTTCACCATGTTGGCCAGGCTGGTCTTGAACTCCTGACCTCAGGTGATCCACCTGCCTCGGCCTCCCAAAGTGCTGGGATTACAGGTATGAGCCACCACACCCAGCCACAATGCATCTTAAAGAACAAAAAAAGCAAAAACAACCCAAACCCAAAATTAGTAGAAGAAAAGAAATAATAGAAACCAGAGCAGAAATAAATGAAATTGAGATGAAGAAAACAATACAAAAGATCAATGAAATGAGAGGTTGTTTTTTTGAAAACTTAAAATTGTCAAGCCTTTAGCTAGAGTAACAAATTTAAAAAGAGAGAAGAGCCAAGTAAATAAAATCAGAGAATGAAAAAGGCAACATTACAAATGATATTGCAGAAATTCAAAGGATCATTAGTGGCTCCTATGAGCAACTATATACCAATAAATTGGAAAATCTGGAAGAAATTGACAAATTCCTAGACATAGACAACCTACCAAGATTGAACCATAAAGAAATTTAAAATATGAACAGACCAATAACAAGTAACAAGATCAAAGCTATAAAAAAAAAAAGTCTCTCTGTAAAGGAAAGCCCAGAACCCAGTGGCTTCACTGCTGAACTCTACAAACATTTTAAGAAGAACTAATACCACTCCTTGTACAATGCTAGGTCCCCCTGCCCCGGCCATGGCCACACTCAGGGTCCAGCCTGAGACCCAAGCCAATGTCTGGCCTTAGAGGAATCCAGATCAGGCCCTACCTAACCCTAAGGGAACTGTTCTCAAATGAACTGGCCTTAGAGCCAGGTTTCTGAAGGGATGCTTGTGCCCCACAGGTGGATGTGTTTCATGAAGACCTCTGTACCAAGAGAGAGAACCTGCTCAGGAGCTATTTCCCCAAGACGATTTCTGAGCTGGATGCATTTTTAAAGGAGCCTGCTCTCAATGAAGGCAACCTGAGCAATCTGAAGGCCCCATTGGACATCCCAGTGCCTGATCCAGTCAAGGAGAAAGAGAAGGAGGAGCAGAAGACACCGCAGGAAAAGGATGACAAGAAGAAAGAGGAAGCTGATGACAAAGGTCCTCCTTGTGGTCCGATGAACTGCAATGAACAGATCACGGTCCTTCTGCAGTGCTTGAAGCCTAAGATCAAGGATGAAGACAAAGGTCCTCCTGTGGTCTGATGAACTGCAATGAACAGATCACGGTCCTTCTGCAGTGCTTGAAGCCTGAGATCAAGGATGAAGACAAAGGTCCTCCTTGTGGTCTGATGAACTGCAATGAACAGATCACGGTCCTTCTGCAGTGCTTGAAGCCTGAGATCAAGGATGAAGACAAAGGTCCTCCTTGTGGTCTGATGAACTGCAATGAACAGATCACGGTCCTTCTGCAGTGCTTGAAGCCTGAGATCAAGGATGAAGACAAAGGTCCTCCTGTGGTCTGATGAACTGCAATGAACAGATCACGGTCCTTCTGCAGTGCTTGAAGCCTGAGATCAAGGATGAAGACAAAGGTCCTCCTTGTGGTCTGATGAACTGCAATGAACAGATCACGGTCCTTCTGCAGTGCTTGAAGCCTGAGATCAAGGATGTCACTGAGCAGCTCAATCTGGTCACCACCTGGTTGTAACTGCAGATCCCTCGGATTGAGGATGGGAACAATTTTAAAGTGGCTGTCCAGGAAAAGGTGTTTGAGCCGATGACCAGCTTCCACACTCAAATCTCCATTTCTCTGAGCGTGGTGATACAATGACTAAAGCAGCCAAGCAGCCCCGTGTGGGTGATTATTGGCAGCTGGTGCATGAGCTGGATGAAGCAAAGTACCAGGACATCCAGCTGACGGTCATGGAGATCCACAGAGCTTATGCCGTGCTATCCAGGACATCCAGCTGACGGTCGTGGAGATCCACAGAGCTTATGCCGTGCTATACAGGACATCCAGCTGACGGTCGTGGAGATCCACAGAGCTTATGCCATGCTATCCAGGACATCCAGCTGACGGTCGTGGAGATCCACAGAGCTTATGCCGTGCTATACAGGACATCCAGCTGACGGTCGTGGAGATCCACAGAGCTTATGCCGTGCTATCCAGGACATCCAGCTGATGGTCGTGGAGATCCACAGTGCTTATGCCGTGCTATCCAGGACATCCAGCTAATGGTCATGGAGATCCACAGTGCTTATGCCGTGCTATCCAGGACATCCAGCTGACGGTCGTGGAGATCCACAGTGCTTATGCCGTGCTATCCAGGACATCCAGCTAATGGTCATGGAGATCCACAGTGCTTATGCCGTGCTATCCAGGACATCCAGCTGACGGTCGTGGAGATCCACAGTGCTTATGCCGTGCTATCCAGGACATCCAGCTGACAGTCACGGAGATCCACAGTGCTTATGCCATGCTATACAGGACATCCAGCTGACAGTCACGGAGATCCACAGTGCTTATGCCGTGCTATCCAGGACATCCAGCTGACGGTCATGGAGATCCACAGTGCTTATGCCGTGCTATCCAGGACATCCAGCTGACGGTCGTGGAGATCCACAGAGCTTATGCCGTGCTATACAGGACATCCAGCTGACGGTCGTGGAGATCCACAGAGCTTATGCCGTGCTATCCAGGACATCCAGCTGACGGTCGTGGTGATCCACAGTGCTTATGCCGTGCTATCCAGGACATCCAGCTGACGGTCGTGGAGATCCACAGTGCTTATGCCGTGCTATCCAGGACATCCAGCTGACGGTCGTGGAGATCCACAGTGCTTATGCCGTGCTATCCAGGACATCCAGCTAATGGTCATGGAGATCCACAGTGCTTATGCCGTGCTATCCAGGACATCCAGCTGACGGTCGTGGAGATCCACAGTGCTTATGCCATGCTGTCCAGGACATCCAGCTGATGGTCGTGGAGATCCACAGTGCTTATGCCTTGCTGTCCAGGACATCCAGCTCACGGTCGTGGAGATCCACAGAGCTTATGCCGTGCTATACAGGACATCCAGCTGACAGTCACGGAGATCCACAGTGCTTATGCTGTGCTATCCAGGACATCCAGCTCACGGTCGTGGAGATCCACAGTGCTTATGCCGTGCTATCCAGGACATCCAGCTGACGGTCATGGAGATCCACAGTGCTTATGCTGTGCTATCCAGGACATCCAGCTGACGGTCGTGGAGATCCACAGAGCTTATGCCGTGCTATCCAGGACATCCAGCTGACGGTCGTGGAGATCCACAGTGCTTATGCCGTGCTATCCAGGACATCCAGCTGATGGTTGTGGAGATCCACAGAACTTATGCCGTGCTATACAGGACATCCAGCTGATGGTCATGGAGATCCACAGTGCTTATGCTGTGCTATCTAGGACATCCAGCTGACGGTCGTGGAGATCCACAGAGCTTATGCCGTGCTATCCAGGACATCCAGCTGACGGTCGTGGAGATCCACAGTGCTTATGCTGTGCTATATGACATCATCCTGAAAAACTTAGATAAGCTCAGGAAGCCCAGGGGAGGAACAAAGGGAATAGTCTATGGAGAGCCCTCTTTCCTGTTCTGATAGGCACAGCAGAGACCTTCCTGCCTTTTTACTGGGGTTCCAGACTTTCCCCAAATGCTTTTCCAAACGGCTTTGGAAAACAGTTTGACCATTTCTCAAAAAGTTAAACAGAGTTAACATATGACCCAAGAATTCCACTCCTAGTTATATACTCAAGAGAAATGAAAACATATGTTCACACAAAACCTAACGTGCGAATATTCATAACAATATTATTCATTAGCTAAAAAATGGAAACAACCCGAATGTCCATCAACCAGTGAGTGGATAAACAAACTGTGGCATATCCACACGGTGGAATATAATTTGGCCCTGAAAAGGAACAAAGTACTGATTCATGCTACACATAGATAAACTTTGAAAATACTGGCTAAGTGAAAGAAGCCAGACACAAAGATTACCTATTCCATTTATATGAAAGGTCCAGAATAAATGAGTTCATAGAGACAGGAATTAGATAGACAGTGGTGATGACTGCAGGATCTGTGAATATGCTAAAAACCGCTGAATTCAGTGTTACAGTATGTGAACTGGATCTCAATTTTTAAAAAAAGAAATAAAGAGGTCGGGCACGGTGGCTCAAGCCTGTAATCCCAGCACTTTGGGAGGCGGAGGCAGGTGGATCACAAGGTCTAGAGATCGAGACCATCCCAGTCAACATGGTGAAACCCCGTCTCTACTAAAAATACAAAAAAATTAGCTGGGCATGGTGGCGCGTGCCTGTAATCCCAGCTACTCAGGAGGCTGAGGCAGGAGAATTGCCTGAACCCAGGAGGCGGAGGTTGCGGTGAGCCGAGATGGCGCCATTGCACTCCAGCCTGGATAACAAGAGCGAAACTCCGGCTCAAAAAAAAAAAAAAAAGAAAAAAGAAATAAAGAAAAAGATCTGAGTTCAACCCAAAAGCTTTCCCAGAAGCTTGAGGAAAAGGAAAACATTTAAAAGTGTAATTTAGTTTCCCGATTCCCTAAAAAACAGATCAAATATAGTAATTAGCTTTTGAAGATACAAGTAAGAGTATAAGTAGTTATGTTTGGATTCACGTCATTTAGGAATACAGGGATTCGAGCTTTAAAATAACTTTATTCTGATCATGAAAGTAATGCCGGTTATTTTAGAGGAGGTTTTAAAGACAGAAAAGCATAGACGAGAAAATTATGAGCTTTTTTATTTTTATGCCTCTCTCCGGTCCCCACAAAGGCAAGTGGGAGACGCGGTCATTGGCTTCTATGAGTAGCTGTGAAAGTCCTCGCACCTGAGGTTGGCTGCACATTCCATCAAGACCAGCACCAGCAATCTTCCTCCACTCACGGATCTTAGAAAAGCACCAGCGATCTCAACTTTCCCTCGTATTTAAGTCCTGGATTGAAAGAACAGCTGGTATTTCCCTTGTTTTTTTGTTTTTTATTGAGACGGAGTTTCTCTCTTGTTACCCAGGCTGGAGTGCAATGGCGCGATCTTGGCTCACCGCAACCTCCGCCTCCTGGGTTCAGGCAATTCTCCTGCCTCAGCCTCCCGAGTAGCTGGGATTACAGGCACGCGCCACCATGCCCAGCTAATTTTTTGTATTTTTAGTAGAGACGGGTTTTCACCATATTGACCAGGATGGTCTCGATCTCTTGACCTCGTGATCCACCCGCCTTGGCCTCCCAAAGTGCTGGGATTACAGGCTTGAACCACTGCGCCCGGCAGTATTTCTCTTAATTCAAAGAAAGAGTCCATGGTACCTTTAATGGTGCCAAAATATGAGAAGGAGGACAGAGACAGAATAGAAACCTAACTTCCAACGAAATCACAATCCTCAAATTAAAATTTCCCAGCAGCTGTCTGCCAGCATTTCCTTCCAGAGCGCTGAATGAGCTCAAGGTCACACGAAATTTACTGTCTTCTTGTATAGTACCATCAGACACACCCAGGGGCCGTGCTAAGGAATCAAGAGGCATGTTACTCCCAGGAGAATATTATTTGAATGGAAATATATTTTTAAAAATTAAAAAAAAGAAAGGGAAGCAGACTCCAATTCAAATTTTATTTGTATACAAAAATATATTATAATGGGAAAGCGTACTGCTATTTCCAACTATATATAATTAATTACAAATATCTTCATAAAAGCACTTTAAATTACAGGAAAGCTATGTTTTAAAAGAAAATACAATATTAGCATGGATCATCTGTTCTAATACACTGCGAGCAGGTGAACAAGGTCAGCTTCACTGTCTAAATTGCCCAAAGATGGGACGAAGGGCTGATTTTAAGGTGAGCCTGAGAGCAGAAGCTTGAGCGCACGTCTCTGTCCCCTCTGGCAGCAGATTCTACAGTACGTGATTTTAGCAGGTCCTGGGGGCTTTCTGAAGCTTCTCCCTTATGATGAAAGAACCCAAAACTACTTCTCATTTCACATACCTGTAAATGAGAGACAGGTAAGGTTATCCACACAGGTTTTACATCTACCTCCTCATCTTCTGAGACTTCACAATCCCTACGCTTTACCACACCACACTGTCTCAGACATGCATCAAAGCACCAAAGTCAATGCCAGGCTTCCCACGTGACGAGTGTCTGTTTAACCTGAATGACTGGGCAACCCACTGCAATTCCCATGAGGCAGACAGGCTTGTTACATGGG